GCGCTGCCGCTCGGTTCCGGTGCACGGCCGAGGAGCTGGACTACTACCTGTACGGGCAGCAGCGCATGGACATCATCCCCTTGAACCAGCACACCAGCGACCCCAACAACCGTACGTATCCTGCCCCTCCTCTGAGCCCCCGACCCCCCGTCCTCCGCCTCTCCCCTCACCGGGCCAGCCTACGGTCGGTCCGAGTCGGGGGACCGCAGTGGGTGTCTGCACCGCTCTCTCCGTGAGGAGCATCCTCCGCCTTGCCCTTCCCTACCTTGAGCTGTTTTTTGCGTTGATCCCAGTGCTTTCGGGAGGTGGGCGGTAACCCCTCGGTAATAGCTTTTCTTGTCTGAGACCCAGGTCGTTCCCTGGAAGGCACGCTTCACCGGGAAGGCTGCTGTGGGTGTAGGTTTCTCTCGGAGGGCTGCTTAGGAAAACGGATTCAGAAATGGTTCAGAGCAACTTGCTATAAAGCTGCTCCTTTCTCGCCTTGCTTATATCACTCTCTTCCTGCCTGGAAAGCCCGGGCTTCGCTGAATACCCAGAAATCAATTACTCCTCCGAGCTGGGCAGGGGAAAAGTTGCAGTTTTCGTCGGATGGACTAGGGCAAAGTTTTCCTCCCCCTTATCTCGGAGTATCGTTTTCCTTTCAGACCTCGTTAACACCTCGCTGATTTTACTTTTCGCCCCTACGGAAGAGCACGACATGGTCATTTAATAAGAAAACCTGGTTTTCTAGACGAAAAAGTCGTCTGCCTGAGTGTCAGAATCCATTTAGCACTTGGTGGTTAGAAAACGTTTAATACTGCTGTTGCCAATTATAGAGATTTTGTTTTTGTTTTGGTTTGTTGGGGGGTTTTTTTGGGGGGCGCCTATGATTAAACATCTGTATTGACTAGAGGTCTGCGATTTTAGAAATTGGTTTTGCCTGTGTTTTGTTCCTGTATGTGTCAATACTATGCAACCGAGGAAATTCGCGGGGTGAAAATAACTAGGTGAACTATATTAATTCATCAGATTTATAACTAACATTCAGAGCACATGGATCTGTCCCTGTTAAAACACTGGGACACAGCTTCAGCGTGTGCACTTTTTTCCATTGCTTCAAACACCCTCTCTTACCCTAAGGTTTCTTAAAATTCTTTATTTTTGTTGTCCTTTCCCCCCCAAATGTCTATTTAAGGAAGGCTGTTGAACAGACAAACGATACCCCAGACCAGCGATCCCTAAGCACACGCCGAAGCAAAACGCGGATTCGTTTAATTTAATTTCAGACGCAGAGTTTGTTTTGAAAGTTTCCATGAAACTCTGTTGTGTGTTAATTAAACAGCGTAGATGCTAGCATAGTCTTAATCATTGTGCGTACGTCTTAAAGAGCAAGAGGAAAGTTGACTCTGAGTTTGGTGGGGATTTTCCCCTCTTCTTAACATTGCAAATCTTTCTATATTGGATACCGACTTTGTTTTGAGCGACTTCCTCACGCTTAGCTTTACCCTGTAGTGAACCGTGTTAGTGTATTTTCCATTCTCGGGTGCAGAAAACGTGGTCTCATAAATTATATGCACTTAATGGAACCTGAAATGCACTTTTAATCGCCAACCGAACGGTTCAGACAATACGTGTTTTACTTCTCGGAGCAGCTCTGTAAATCTGCAAGATAAAGGTTTTAAAAAGAGAAAGGAAGATAAAAAAGCGATTTGGGGGGAGCATTTTTAAGGAGTGAGCGGAATAAAAGCACGCCGCAGAGTCGCAGGCGCAGTCTGCATAGTTTCTTCCCAGTCGCGATATTAAAGGTGGGTTCGAGAAAGAACACGGGTCGATTGCAGACGGGACGCTTGTGAATCGCGTCCGGCGGGGACGGGGCAGCGCTGGCCGTCCGAAGGACGGGGCAGGGTGCTGCCAGCACGGTCTCTGCCTTTTTTTCTGCAGCGAGATCTAAAAAGTCTTATCATTGAACTTGTTTACAAGGCGACTTTCGCTCCGGCGGTTATTAGTTGACTCTGAGCAAAACTTCTAACCCGAGTTTCCAACCTTCTAGGACCAGGTGCGTTTGCTTTGGGCAACTCGTTCCTAAAAACAAAGAAAAAAGCAAACCGTAAGTGAGGAAGGAGTAGGGGAGTAATCGCAGTCCGTGCCGCGCCACGCACTCCACTCACTCGCCCGAGCAGAGG